ATTCCACCATAAAGCTATATTATGGCAGTGTGTTATTCATAAATATGCGAAATTTTGTTTACGAGAACAACTTGTCAGACTCAAATCAGAAGCCAAATTTTCAGATCTCGAAGTGGCTACATGCTTCTCCCCACGTGCTGTTGATAGTTGCTCTTCCAAAGATGCAATAGTGGCCTCCATCTCAAATGCAAGCACTTCCAGCCCCTTGTAATCCTCCTGAGAAAAAAGAAATTAAAAATATATCAATGTGTTATGAAAACTGGTTGGAATAGTTTCACTTTATAAGCAGTAAAAACCACAACAGAATAATTTTTACCCAAGAACAGCATAATGTTATATATATGCAGAAAGATAATATCTAGGAAGAATGAGAAAAGCATAATTCATAGTTGAACAGGTATCAGACAAGGGGAACACAAAGTCAAAAAGTGAAGCCGCTCCCAAACCCTTAAAAGGGGAAAAAACTTTTAGAAGGAACAAAATATAAAATTAACATGTATAGCTGCCATGACATCCATAGATCATTGATTTTCAGCCAAGCAGACTTCACTTGGTATCACGATCACTCATCTACTCGGAAAAACTAAGTAAAACAACCAGAATGTTCATTCTTCACTAACAACTCTAGCTCTGAATATTTCTCACTATAAGTTAAACAAGCATCAAATGTTAATGATGAAGTCAAAATAATATCAGAGACAGGACAGTTTACAATTTGTGTCCGCAGCAACTGTCACTAAGAAATCCATAAGTAGGCAAATACTTCAGATCTTTGTTGCCATGGTTAGTTTTTACAGAAATAGGAAACATGACTCACAAGATTGAGAAATGTGTTTCTTGAAACATTCATACATTGATTTATTCCTCTTACACCATCATAATCTTCTTCTCTAATTCTACCTAAATTTGCAAAGTAAATGTCTTAGTTTTTTCATAAAAAAAAAAATCTTCTTCCATGCACCATATTATTTGAAGTCAGGACAACACCAGTAATGAAGTCCTTAATATAATCATAATTATCTTCCTCCTTTAGAATATGGATAAATAAAACTAATGCGACAAGTACTTATGGCATGTAGCAACATTCTAAGCAACCCAGTTGATAGAATTCTTAATGCATAAGATAAGAACCGCTACATGTCTTAAAAAGAACTACATTACATAAAACTTCATGTAGAAGAAGTTAAAGCTTGATGCCTTTTCAAATTTCTCCTGGCTGATATTGTCTGCTCCGTAACTAACTCAACAACTGAGTCCAAATTTTGCTGGCTCGAGGATTTCTCCATCTCCAAAATATCAATCTGAAGAATAAATTTCACAAAATCAAGATCAAAAACAAAATTCAAAAATAACAGTCAGTTTGTGCAGACTATGCATAAAGACGTCATAAAATCTAGAACATTTGACCAAGACTTGTCTTGGACAAGCTTAAAGTGTCAATCAGACTTCTAAGTGCAACAAGACTAATGCAAGCAACCCAGAAATGGAACGTACACCATTTTACCACGGATAGCTCACGTCTGGAAGCCTAATGATACCCTCATAGTCCCTACTTAGTTGACACTGACAGTGCCCCAACCCAGTCATGGTACCTTGCTGCCCTTACTTACACGTCAGAAAAGGACCTTAAGGACTTGCCTTTTTATCCAAATGAAAGTATCACATTCTCATTTTAGTCATTTCTATCATCAAAAAGTGGACAATGACAACTTGAACCCTACATGGCATTATCATTGATTTTGAAATCACCCTTTCTACTTATTGAACGCCTAATTTCCAGTCTCCTAAAAATAGCTCCATGGTTTATCGCGGTCTCTCTTGTGCCAGTCACCGACAAAGTTCAATGTTAGCATTAAAATCTTGCTTTACAAGCAAACTTTGTTCTCTTCACCAACTATATCAACATAAATACCCAAATTCAGTATTAAAAAGACTAAGGGTCCGTTTGATTTTAAATGTGGAAAATGGGTGGAAAGAAAATGAATTCCAGCGAATTGAATTGTCTAGAAATTATTTTACTGGGAATTATAATTAATTGTGTTTGATTGGTATAATTTTTCACCTGAAAAATGTTAAGAGTTTGGTGTTCATTTGACTTCATTTTTCATGAAAATTGTCCAGAAATTTTTTCTACCATTGAGTCTAAAATTTGTTCCAATTGCATGGAAATTGTCAATAAAAGTGACAAAAAATTTTACCATTATATCTAGATTTTTTTTCAATTGCCAGAAAAAAAAAGGGAAAGCTAGAAAATGAAAAATTAACCAAACCGAAGGAAAACAAGTTCCTTTCACGCATGGAAAATGGGCGCGTGAGTGGGCAGGAGTGAAAACCAATTCTAGGGAAAAAGCAACCTATCAAACACAACAAAAAGGTGGAATTGGAAAACGTTTTCCATTTTCTAGGGAAAAAGCAACCTATCAAACACAACCTAAGAGCATCTTTGGCTAAGCTTACCCTCTAGAAAGGTAACTTTTAAGCTTATCGAAAAGTGCTCTAAGAAAACATAGGAAGGTAAAGCAATAGAGGTAAACCTTCTCTTAAAGTTGCTTGATCACAAGAATGGCATCCGACTCCCTCAAACTTTTCTTTTCATCTGGAAGAAATATATCATTTGTACTTCGTGCAGTACTGTCTTTATATTTCCCATGCACATACAGATCAGCCTCGGCAAGCTTCCTCGTTAAGTAGTCAATTTTAATATCACTCATTGTTCTCTATAAAGAAAATGGTTAATAATACGAATCTATAATGCAACTGTCATTGAAACATAGAAGTAGGAAAAACTAACATGAGTTTCAAACTTTGACATCAAAGTTTCATATTTGGCTTGCAATTCTGCCAATTCATTATTCTCCTTCGAGAGAAACAATTAGTCAGTCTCAAAATACATCCAAAATGTAGAGATAAAAGAGGTAGAAATATGATATAAACCATTTGTAAACTTCTCTTTCTGGGCGGAGCCTTTCTCCTGTTGGTAACATGCAGCAAAGCCTATGGATCAGGAAGAGTGCAGTCTTCCAACACATTTTTCTCACAATATACTTCTTGCTTGCTAGAGTCAACCATGCTTACTTCATTAACTAACTCTTCAAAGGGAAGAAGAGGCGCAGCTTTGCAATCTGCTCTTGTTGACTTCACGACGGAAGGCATCTCTTTGACTGTGGAGCACAACTAAAGCACCAAGTATGTTTGAAGAATGAAATAAGAAATTTCTGTATTTCTTGCTTGAATTGTACACACCTATTACACTCTAATTATAGTACAACAATAAAAAGGAAGAACGAAAAAATAATCTTCTAATTTTGGATACAAGAAATTAGCCTAACAATCAACCTAAGTTATGGAAATATTTAATCAATTATATATCAATCATGATCAATCAAATATCAATCATGATTAATCCCTAGAATTTCTACTCTCTCTCTCTATCTAAAGCTAGATCGTAAATTTTGACTATAGCCAACTTACAGATGAAATCATCAAAATTGTGCCTTGGTAATCATTTGGTGAAGATGTCCGCATTTTGTTCTTTTGTAGGAACATAGATCATACAAATAACTCCGTCTTCCACCTTTTCTTTGATGAAATGGCATCTACTTCTACATGCTTAGTTCAATCATGTTAAACGGGATTGAGAGAAATATTAATGGCATCTTTGTTATAACAATAGAATTTGATCGATAATCTTGCAGTGACCTGTAGTTCTTTTAAAAGTTTCTTTAACCACAATCCTTCACATATCCCTTGTGCAACAGCTCTGAACTCGACCTCAGCACTCTTCTGACTACTAGATTTCTTACTTCTCCAAGCAACTAAGTTTCCCCATACAAAAGTGCAATATCCAGTAGTAGACCTTCTATCCTCAGCTGAACCAGCCTAATCAGCATCTGTAAAGATCTCCACTTCCCCTCTTTCACATCTCTTGAAAAATAGACATTTACCTGAAGTACCATTGAGATACCTTAGTATCTTTTACACAGTTTCTATGTGAGCTTCTTTTGACGACTGCATATGCTGGCTTACCACACTTACTGCAATGGTAATATCAAGTCTAGTATGTGAGAAATAGATTAGTTTACCAACAAACATATGATTCATTTCCCTTTCAACTGATTTTCCTGCATCTTCCATCCTTCCAGCTTCAATAGGTGTCACTTGACTTACAGTCGAGCATACCCGTTTCAATTAACAGGTCAAGGACATATTTTCGCTGAGAAACATTGATCCCTTTCTTCAATCTAGCCACCTCCATTCCTAAAAAGTACCGCATTCGTCCCATATCCTTAACTTCAAATTCAATGGCTAATACCTCCTTTAATCTCTCCATCTTACTCGATATTATCTCTAATTAGGATAATGTTGTCCACATATACAATCAAAATTGTCTTCTTCCCATTTTTCTGATTGTAGAACATAGTGTGATCTAATTGTCCCTAACAATAACTTTCCCTTTTTATCACCTTATAAAATCTATCAAACCATGCTCTAGGAGACTGTTTGAACCCATACAAGGACTTCTTCAACTTATATACTTTGTTTTCTTCTCCCTTTTACAGAAACCTAGAGGTAGTGTCATGAAAACCTCCTTTTCCAGTTCGTCATTCAAGAAACCATTCTTTATGTCAAGGTGTTGAATTGGCCAATCTAGGTTGGCGACCGAGGAAACTCGAACTGTATTCAACTTAGCCACAGGTGCAAGGGTTTTTGTGTAGTCAATGCCACATGTTTGAGTAAATCCCTTCGCAACAAGACAAGCCTTGTACCTCTCCACCCGAGGCTGTTCTCTGAGTGCAATAGGCAAATCAATATCATCAGGTTTAAGAGTAATAGAGAGGTTCTATCACCTGATTTGACCAAGGGAAAGACTCTTGGTTGTGCGAAGCTACCATCAGTTCAGACTCAATCGGTACCTCGGGTGTGAGATTCTCATTAGGCCTCGATTTTGGCTTTCATGAGTAAACATATACCTTTTTTTCTGCTGTTTTTCTACACATTCCTCTGAGTGTAAGTTTCTTTCTATAACCAACAAAGGAGTGGAAGATGATGACGGTGTGATAAAATCAGTGTTTTGGGAAAAAATGAAAGAAAATAGTCACCAGCCGAGTGATTCAAGATTCGAGATTCACTTAAATTCTCTCCCTAATTTGAGGACTTGGGATAGAAATGAGTGGTTTTAAAGAATGTTACATGAAGACTGACAAAGGTGTAAAGTTCCAATAATAATTAATTACTCTAAGTGCTATATTTTTATGGGTTAATTTCACAAATGGTCACTGAAGTTACCTAAAAATCACAAAACAGTCATTGAAGTTTCATGCGCTTCCACAAACNAATGGTCATTGAAGTTACCCACAAAACGGTCACTGAAGTTTAAAACTTGTAGAAACGGTCACTTAAGTTTCAATTTCTTTCACAAACGGTCACTGAAGAACCGTTATGATTTAAATTCAAACTTAAATGACCAAAACACATGAACATGGAACCATAAGGACCTCAAGTGCAAATTTCATCTAAAAACTAAAATCATTCCCTTCTCAACCCATCACCGTTGGACAACTATAACTCCAACCTCAGGCCACCTTGGTCGTCGAACCAATATACAACCTTGATGCCCTCGCTACCCTCTACGCAACCCACCCAAGAATCGACCCTAACTCCATTTGATTTCACCCGAATTTCGTCCCAAAGTTGGTAGCTCGCACAGGACAGCACTGCCAACCGCCACTTTGGGACGAAATTTCACCACTTTCCAGCCACCAAAACCACCGGACCAACACAACATCTTGAAGCCCTTACCGTGCTCTACGCAACCCACCCAATAATAGCCCCTAACTCCGTCGGATTTGGGCGGAATTTCGTCCCAAAGTCGGTTGAGAAGGGAATGGTTTTAGTTTTTAGATGAAATTTGCACATAAGGTCCTTACTGTTCTATGTTCATGTGTTTTGGTCATTTAAGTATGAATTTAAATCATAACGGTCCTTCAGTGACCGTTTGTGAAA